TTTTATTTATTCGTTTTTATTTTTTTTTTTATGTCGGCGGCGAGGGTATTACTTTTTTTTTGTCCTCCTTTTCTCCTATTCTCTATGGTGAGTTGTATAAGAGCGTTAGAGCGGGCAAATTAATATCGGCGGCGGCGTGCGAGTGAAAGGCGCCGGTCTGTCCCTGGGTGTCGGGGAATTTAATCCGCTTTTATATAAACGTAACAACGCCACTGCCGCGACCCACTACACCACACCACCGCGCCGAGGAGGGAGGATCCTTTTTAACGAGAATTAATTAAAATCCGTTCACACAAGCATCGTATTAGATTTCACTAGTGTGCTTGTGGCCGGGAAGAGTGTTAAGTTATCCGACGCCGTCGGCCAGCTACACGAGCGTTTTGGACGTGTCCTGTCGGTTTTGTTGTTTTTTTTTATTTCGAATAAACGACGGGCGACGGCATTTTTATCCACATAAACGGCTTCGAAGGTATTCGGAAAATTTCTACGGATATCATGACCCCCTCTGGCCCTCGCCTTTCCACCATTCCGCGGCACCGTCCGTAACCGGAATGTTGGAGCTGATATTTTTCAATTTTGAACTTGTATATATCTTCACCGAGAGGGACAGGCGAAAATTGGCCGTCACTGCAGCCGTGCCGCCGACAGTCTTAATAAAATACCAGTCGATAGTTTACCCAGACGAGAATTCCAAAGGCGCTAAAGGACGACGACGTCGTCGTTATTGAAAGGAATCGTGCAATTTTCTTTCATACTGCTTGAGTGAATTGACGTATGGGATTCATTTGATGAAACGTTTATGGCACACTATAAAGAGCCAAATACATTTCAAGCGAAATGCAAGACGTGATAATTGTTTGCAGTATATTCTTCCGCAAAACGAGACAACGATAAAGAATAAAATAACAAACTGCTATAAACTACTTTCAGGAAAAACTTAGTAGGTACCCCCCTGCACTCCCCTGAGCATTTGCACGCCGCATGCAGTCATCAACTTAATAGGCATAGGGATTGCCTATAATCTATATTATACATGGTAATACACGGTACCAACTAACTATAGTTGTTGGTATATTAATAATAAATAACTACACGAACGCTGATAATGTAAAGACTAAAGTTATTGAAAATATTATGTTATATTATTTTTTTTATTATATAAACATAAACAAATTGAACATGTCGGCACCTATGAAATATTATCAATTTTCTGCTTTATAAACTAAAATGCAATTTGACATAAATTCAAATTTAGAACAGTATAAAAAATGCAAGCAACATCATAGTATTGGATTTATTTTAATGTCAATAATAATTATAATATTAGCATAGTATAATATTTTATAAATTATAATAAATAGATATATATTTTGTATATATATATTATATTACAATCTAATTTTATATTTTTGACGTACCTATATCAATGACGTTATTTAAATAAAACAGAATTAGAGACTATACTTTTATGTTACAATACATAAATTAATATAAACTAGGTAATAGTTTTTATTAAGTAAATAAATTATGAAATAAATTCAATATAATTCAAAATAAAAAGTTTTCATTCTCGCACTGTTGATAATATGGATACATATGATAGATAAATTGATAACTATTCATTACAAATTTAAATACATTATTAATGTATTTAAATTATGAAAAAAATTATAACTCATACAAATCAGAAATACATATCGTGACAATAGTTTCTATATATAATTTATATACCTACCTGTATAGTCGTATATAGATCATATCAAATATTTGTACGCAACTTCCACAAGTTTTAAAGTGTGCATTTCGAATTACTATATATGCACATATAATAGTCACATAGAATGAGTTAATCGTGTTTAAATCAGATATAAAATGCATTTGATTTATTATCAACTACGTAGAATTAAAAAAAAGTATTATCGTTACCCGACCAGTTCCACGCGAATTTTCTTATTCTATCTAGTTTGCCTCATCAACTTTTTACGATTTCCCATTTACGCAATGGTATAACTTCTAAAATATGATAATGCGGCATGCTTTCCCCCGAAGTACATAAAATCAATGATGTTCGTCGTCATAAGGACGAGGGGTGTCTGTTTGCCGGCGCCAGTAAGCCTTGTCCGGGATAATGTGTAACTTCTCTCTTGCACCGTCTCCCCGAACAGCCGACATCCGGACCACAGTAGGACCCTACATGTTATAAATATCTGTATATGTAATAAATCTTCATATCCGTTTATCGCGATGACTTGGAACTCTCGATTTGGTCAGGACTTCAATATCTAGGGGACCCGGAAACTATATACACGACAAGAAAAAAAGTACTTATGGAACTCCAAAAGAGCTAATAGCCATCACAATGTATTGTTAAAAAATAAAAAATAAATAAATCGTCCGAGATGTCATTTAGATATTAATGAAAAAAAAGTTTTATCGATATAGTTTGAATGAAAAATGCCAAGAAAAATCGCTTAGTATATGTATTTAAATGCAATAGTAGTGTGTGTAAATATATATATTCAAAACTAAAACATTATCTATAAAATAATGCAGATAGGGTATAGAAATGTCTGTAATCAAATAACAAATCTTTATAATGTAAGTATAGGACATGTAGGTATAAGGAATAAATCATGAAATTTTAAAACTTAGAGAATAATAAATAATTTAAAATCCTAAAAACACTTAACACGATATATCTGAGATCACAAATAAATGTACCTACAGCAATAATAATAAAATTATGAAAATTTCAAATTAATTATGTAAATTATTAAATGTCTGTATATTTTTCTTTTCTTTATTTTTCGTGTGCTCTATTTTAAGTCTCATAATATATATAGCTTGTAATGATGTAAAAAAAAAAATGTATTACCTTATTTTTATTCCAAATTGTTTTATATTATTTACTGTATTGTTTTTGTTATGTTTTGTGTTTTTTTTTCTTCTCACCTTATTTGTGACCTCTCTATTTTTTTGTCTTAATATCTGCATATAATCATCTCAAGCTCAACTCTCTATCTCCAACACAAGCATTACTTAACGGAGATAGATAAAAAGCTAATACTTTTATACAAATTTAATTTACACCTTGTTTTCGATTCAGCAAAAAAAAAAAAAAACATCTGTGTTTGGAACATCATCGAAAATAAAATGTTATAAAATTCTCTCAAGAACTATTGTTCTTATAATAATATTTATGAAATCGAAAATATGTAAAATGGACAATTTTATTCATAGTCCAGACATTTGAAATTCAAATTTTAACGAAATTAGACATTTAAAAAAAAGGCAAGTAATTATTGGTAAAGCTTTAAGCAAAGGGAAAATGTTTAAAAAAAACATATTTCGTTTTCCGAAAGGACTTTGTGACAATTAAGAGAGTGGTCGTACAAATTCATACAAACTCCATACTGAATATTTATAACATAATATTATGATTAGGGAGGACTGGAAAATGTACGTTATAAAATGTCTAGACAAAATATATGTGGTTCTATAAAAATATATTATTTAAGATAATAATTTAAAATACATACTTAAAACTTTTCATAAAATTTCAAAAATTTCTTATAGCGATATAAACGTTTTATTTTTAAACGAGAAAGGTTTTATACAGCAAGTTATTAAGATTTTTTTAATGTTGATGTATGTACTAATCGTAATTCAAACGAGTAGTTTCTGAGTTAAATTTTATGAATTACCTGAGAACACTAATCAATTGTTTTTAATAATGTTTATAAGGTATGATGGTTTGAAAATTATAGTAATTATTAATTAATATTAATACATTTACATATTTTTATGATTTTTAAAAATTGTCCTAGTGGCGAGTACCTATATATTAATTAAATATTATATAAATTTGATATTTCAAAAAAACTATTATGTTATCCATAATACGTATAAAACTTAATAACTCAGAAACTGTACTCGTTCAAATTTTTCAACATTTTCAAAGGAAACATGTACTACACAATTTACAGTAAAAACTGGTCGTTTTGATTTGAAAAAAAATTAAGTTTGTATCACCACAGGACACTTTTTAAATGTCACAAAAAATCGAAATATTTTTAAATATACTCTATAAGACGTATACTTAAATAATCAAAAACCAAAATTCAAAAATATATACATTATTAAAAGGGAATGAGCGTGCTTGGTTAATAATTACCACTGTATATGTATATATTAGAGATTCTTATAAGATTATAAGAATAAGGTATATAATATGATGAATAGCAGAATAGAAACAGTAATTATAGTAAAAATTACAGACATGTTTAAATACTAATTTTCACTACATTGACTTTTCTACTCCCGCGTGTCAGCAGTAAAACTCCGCTATATTGCATTATTGTCATTATATTTTATTCTCGCTTGGTCGGTTGCTCAGTTACTTTATAGTTTATACTTTACTTTAGTCATTTATGTATCATATACTATTACTTACATACATATTATCATGAATAATTATATATTCATATTAGGTAGTGTATGAGTATAGAACATTTTTTGTGAATCTCAAATAATATATATTTTTACACAACAGCAAACAGTATTATATTTTTTTATTTAAATATAATATATTATTAGGTACTGTGTGAATTCCATTCATGTAATATGAAATTCCAAAATGTAAATTGACAATTTCTCCATAATTTGACAGTTCACGTTCAATGGGTGCTTAAGTGTATGAATCACGTAACGGTTCCCCTTTTGCCAAAAGTTTTTGGGTTTCGCTTGTTGAACGCACTACGTGATTTCCAAGTCAAAATAATGCTAACCCTTCATATAGTTGGTTTAATGTCACGTCTAATTAAACCGTCAACCGTCCGTAACATAATAATATCTGAGACTTATTGTGCGTAAAACTTTTTCTTGCACCTCAAAAGCATATTAAAAAACTCAATTGTAATGTCCTTCACGAAACCAAAGATAGTACTCTTTACAAGTAAAATAAAACACTGAATAGTATTTATAACGATAATTTTACTTACTGAATGTCGAGTCAGTGATTGCCAGCAAAATTCAAGTTCACCAATATTCGCAGGAACTGGAACTTCAAAGTTCATCGCGTATGTATTTACAACCCCATCTCGAACATAGTAGAGTTCAGACGATAGACCTGGGTAAAAATAATAGTTATGAAACAGCTGTATATTTAAACATACAAAATATATAAAGTATTTTTTTGTTTATTTATTTATAGACAATTTTACTTTATATTTTATCATTATTAAGTAGGTATATTATAAAGTTATAATTATTTAGCAAGTAATAATTGTGTTTTTAGGGTTAATAATAATTAAATTATCATTGTAGAATAACAGATAATATTCATTGTATTATTTTAATAAACTAGCATAGGTAACATTGTATACATCTATATAGTTTTTTTTCATAAGGTGTAATATGATTAACTATATAAAAATCGTTTTGCAGAACAGCATGCTGTTCACCGAATAAATATTAAAATATATAATATGTAGTTATTTTCACCTCATAACTAAACAATATATTACTAAAAACTACGATTTAGTATTAATATAATTTTACAAACAAAGTCATAACAATAAACCAGCATTGGTAAAAAAAAAAATGATAAAACGCAATTTAATTTAATAACAATGGTTAAATCAGTTTATATCTAAACATATCGAGGACAGCTATTGGTTTTAGATAACAAATGTTACCTTTCTTGAGAGAGAGATAGAGAGAGTTAAATTGCTCTAGAAGTTTCATATGGCCCCCTTTGAACTGAAGACTGATGGTCTTCGGAGAGATCAACATTGCGAGTTCTCAAATTCACATATTAATAATAAATAAAATAACAGAAATATTGGGTTACATTATTTATTTGCAGGTCGATGTACTTCAAATGATTTTTATTATGTACAATATACTTAAAATATATAAATTATATCATCAATTATTTTGACGGCAAGGTGCTAAGAACAGTTATTCTCTCAAAATGTTCGTTCAAAATTCGATTTATTTTGTTTCAAAATAAAGATTAATAAATAAATATCATACTTTTTATCTCAGCATTGTTTGATCTTATGTTAACTAATTAAAAATATATATTCATTCATTATGCACTACATTTTAATCATATTTGTGTAAAATTGGATTGTATCATTTTTATACGTAAGTTATGATATCTAATAATATATCGTGTCCACTTGGTGAAATCGATCTTTATTCGTGAATTGGGTGTCATGGTTGAGGAATTTAATGAAAACACGCAATATAGGTAGATTAAATTCGTAAACTAAGCAAATATTGTGAATACTTTCTGTAATTAATATAATTTTGAGTTCATAACATGAATGGTTTTTTATAATATGAATCTATAAAACATCAATACCTAGTATGTAATAATTAATATGTATATTTCACATTTACATGTTATACCCACTGTACAAAAAATAATAATATTATATGTATAATATACCAGCTATTATAGTTTTCATATGTATACCTACGTATTAATTTGTTGGTTTAATAATATTATAATACCAATTCATTTTTTTTATCGTGCTTATTTGTTCATGTCGATGCGTTACACAACGCACAACGAATATTACAAAATAATATATTATTTTTCATGTAGTACATGTGTATCTTTGTCAACTTGTTTGAATAGGATTTTGAACAAAACAAAAAAATCCTTGCTCGTGTACGTTTTTGGAAACCTTTCCACTCAACAATATAACCCATTTTTTTTATGAATTTAGACAAAACTAATGATGGAGTTGTATATTTTTTATATATTTATTATTTTATATTTTTGTATATTTTTTAAGATAAATATGTAACATCACCACATAATGCTCAATTATAGGCCTATAGGCTCAGATTCATGTAATAATCAATTTAGTTATTTACATGCTAACATTGCTTAACTCAAAAATACGTATCAAGTAGCCATAATTAACTGTTCACGTATATAAACATAATGCGTAGTGATTATCTCATAATGTGATCAATAAATTTAGTTTATTATTTTAAATGTATAAAAGAAATTTTTCAGAAATATTATAAATACAATTAATTCCCAAATATTTTTTTCTACTTCGTGAACGGAATATGCCCCCCAAATATATAAATTATTTGTTTTATTAAATTCCTCAATCAGGTAATTCAATACATGAAAAAATTAATTTACCCGTATCTAGATGCGAATCATAAAAAATACATATGTATAAATTACTTCAAATGATTTTAAACAAGTCAGAGCGATATATCATTATTCATTATGCTTGTACTTCCAATCATTATTTTATCTTAATTAAGCCTTTACTTTCAAACTTAATTGAAATTAATGGAAATAAAACTCAGGTGGTATGCTGCTTCCCTTACCCCTAAAGGCCAAATCGATCGTATGCATGTCATTAGTCTCTGTCACGTAATCTGTTTGAAAAAAATCTGCATAGTCAGACCAGTCGTATTTTAATTCATTTGTTTTCAGCTGAACATTTTTTATAATCAATATGACTATTGAAAAAACAGAAAAAAAAATGTATACAACAGTACCTGTAATATTTAATGTTACATATAATTGATATTACAAAAAAAAAATTTTAAAAATTGGACAAAATATAATTATGTGACAGAAATTATACATAGCTGTCGAAACTTTAAACGTTAATAGCTGTGTAAATTGTTATAAATGAACTCTGTCTGAAGTAAAAAAATAAATAAAGGTAGGGTCGAAAGTGGGGAGTAAACATTATTAACGAGCTAAGGGAGTATGGCTATTATTATTAAGACGTTTATAGGAGATTGCTCAATCCATCATGATGGTAACGTGTAGAAAAGTGAAACTGCTCGTTTGTGAAGGAAAAGCTTTGTAATAATATTCGAAAGAAAAAAAAATCAAGATAGATATTTTTTAGCAATGATTATTATTATACGAGAAGCAAAGGAACTGTGTACAGTGAGGATTTTCGGCAGTAAAAAAGGCGTTATTAAAATTTTAAATTTAAAATAAATTAAAAAGTTGAACAAAGAGACTGTCCCCAGCATACATTGTATTCCAGTGATTTCGAGATTTATATTCCTAGGGGCAATTTACAATTACAGTGGTTTACCAAATTAATGATATTTTCCGGGTTGGACTGGGTCGGTGGTGTTGGGGCGATTTTTTCTCGTACTGACGTTTCCGTCGTGCTTTTAATGGCCCTTTGCGAACCCCTGTTTCTAATTGCACCGCCGGCTGTTCCACTATGCACATTGCACACCCCGCCACCACTATCTCACCGAGGTTTTAATATTGGCAATACACATTTGAAATAACAATCATAAAGGGAAAAAGAGGAAAAAACTACTACCTATATACATTGGGTGATTAATGTGACAATTATGATCGTTTAATATCCTTCTATTGTTTTCGATATTATTCTCTATAAGTATTCTGTAAATCAATTACATTTGGCGATGTGCTGACAAGTTTAATTTTCAGCCAATGGATAAACAAAACCCGCATAACACTCATTATTTCGAACATAGGTGTTAGATAAATGCATTGTTTAATTAGTAGATATAAAAATTATTATCTACAATACCATTTTATTCAAAAAATTACATATTACAGTTTATTTCTTACATTCCTAGAGAATGAGTGTTTTTATTCGTTACCTATAACTTATAAGTTATTACCTACTTATTATATTTATTTTATAAACTTTTTAAATTAGGATTAATCACCACTCAGAAGTATAAAATATTATGTATGTACATAACATAAGTGCATAATTTTATGCGACATAAGTAGTTTAATGATTATTACTCATTTTTTGTTAAGTTATATAGTTGTTTTTAATAAATAATAATATACGTTTCAAATAAGACACTTTCGTTTCCTATTATCGAATTGATAATTATTAATGATGATGTAAAAATGACTTCTCTTACATTTGATATGCACTAGAGTGTTATAACAACATTTTAAACAAGAAATAATAATAAAAAAAAATATAGCACCACAAGCCATATACCCAACACCCGTGTTTTTATTTTTGTTTTCGAGGGGGGTAACTGTGAGAATCGATACATAAATTACGTACAAGCACCAGTAGTTAAACGATAATCATAAAAAATTGCCACCCTCTGGTGACAACAGCAACAATGCTAGAACGATATTTCACTTAGGAGGGATGATCGAGAGCACATTAAAACTGTCCTGCAGGACGTCACGCTGTTTCTTTTATCCAACACGCCCCTTGGACACTACACAAACACACGAGAGCGGCTTCAGACTTACGTCAGCAAAATTGAATTGTAGGGTCAAAAACTTGGAATTTAATTTGGTCTATCTCTGCACGGAAATGAGAACAAATTGTAAAGTTTGTACGATAAAATAGGTATAATAACTGTCAATTTCGTTAATATTATTATTAGATAATTACTAACAAATGTTAGTCATTGCAATAAATAATGACTAAAATCATATTGTTAAATTTGACACACGCTTTTGTCAAATATTTTTACAATAGATGTTACATAGATGTAAGGTGAATTTTAGTTGACAAATTAATAAGTAAACAAAAATAAATTAATAATTTAGATAGGTACTAATAAAGATGGTTTAAAGATGTGTCCCACACTCTTATAATGTGTTTACAGAATAATTAAAAAATTCACTATGGAAAAGAGAATAGAACATAATATTGTAACACTATACGAAAATATTTTTCACTGGTTTTAGTTTGTTTTTATATTAATCTATAGAAAAATATTAAAAACCAAAGAAGAATTCATAAAGCCGAGGGGGGTATTTTTTATTGCTTCCTACACGCGCTTGAACCCATAAAAATATAATACACCATACATTAATATGCGTCCAAAATGCATTAAATATGCAAAATAACTTATACATACATGGCTTAGCAACATTATGAAACGAATTTGTATTGAGCCATAAAAAACTAAAGGGGAGGTTTCAATATTATCAGTAACGAATGTAATAATTTTCATAAAGCTTCAATTAATATTTGGATAGTGTTCAAATGTCAAGATTATAATCTGCATATTAACGTATACGTGTTCAAAATATATACTAGGCATATTTTTTTTTCAAAATTTATCATATTTATATTTTAAATCATAACTACATATTTTATA